CTTGTTAACACAATTAAACTTATAGCTTGCTTATTCGCAACTCAATTATCCGCTCACTTTACTTGTAGCTTGCTGACTTGTAACTGTCCCACCTCGCTGTGACGGCGCCCTTATATACCTGCGCTGGCACTTATGGCAACTCTAGAACATTTTGAAGTTTATCGCTCATTCTCTTTCTCTCGCTGTTCGCAGTGTTCATCCAACTTGACGTTTCTCTTTGTGGAACAGTTTACGTCATTCCTCGAACATTCTGCCTATTTCTCGTTGTTCGCTTTGTGTTGCCGCAGTATTCGCCACAGTATGAATGTGTTACAAGCAATGCCATTTTCAGTCTTCGTATATAAACATAAATCTGCAGCACGCCGTTTAAAGCCAATCTTCAACATGAACTGATTAAATTTTTCATTCCAGGTTCTTGATGCCTGCTTTAGCCCATATAATGCTTTATTTAGCTTGCACACCTTATTCCCATTTTTGAAACCCTCCGGCAATTCCATGTAGATGTCTTCAGCTAATTCACCATTTAAAAACGCTGCCATCACATCCATTTGATGAATGTACATATCATGTTGTGCGGCCGCTGATAACAAAATGCGCAATGTCGTCAACTTTGCTACCGGTGCATAGGTTTCATTGTAGTCGAAACCAATTCTTTGGGCGAAAACCCTAGCCACGAGCCTAGCCTTGTACTTGTCTGTAACACCATTTGACCTTCGCTTCAACTTGAAGACCCACTTACATGAAACAGCTTTTCTTCCGTTAGGCAGCTCACATTCAGTCTATGTGTTGTTCTTAATGAGTGACGCACATTCATCTTTTATGGCCGTATTCCACTCATGCCAATCATCACGTTGTTTTGCTTCAGTCATTGTTACAGGATCATTTTCAACAAATTGTTGTGCCGAAGGTGCTAAATGTGATGAATAATCCCATTCACCATATCGATCGGGTTTTTTGTCTCTGCCTTGTGTTTCGTCGCAACTATGATTCATTGTTGTTACCGATACCATTTACGTCGATACCGTGGATTTGATGTTCGATGTCATTGATGCCATCTTCATTAGCATCGTGGAAACTGTCTTCGCTGTCATCGATGTTATCGTCGAAATCATCTTCGATGTTACCAGAGCTGTTTTCCCCAGCCAATTTCATTAATGTCGTACCTTTAGGGCCGGTTGTTCAATGTCTGATTAGCACAAATCGGAGGTAAAAGCTCCGGTTAAATACAACGACTTCTTTATCGATCACATGTTATATGCGTGATGTCGAAAACGTCGATAATGATGTTTAACCGGCAAGTAGTGATAACCAGACATTGAACAACCGGCCCTTAGGGCCGGTTTCTCCATCTCTGGTTAACACTAACTCCCCGGTTAAACATTGTTATCGACGTTCTAACTCCATGCATATAACAGGGAGTCGATAAGGTCGGTAACGATGTTTACCGGGGGATTAGTGTTAACCGGAGATAGAGAAACCGGCCCTTAGTCTCCTTTTCAATACCGTTTCTAAGAGATGGTTCGATTACCGCCTTTAAATCGTTGGTAATGTATTGTTTCATCATTGCAGCTTCATGGAAAATCACGTTTCGTCCGATGATTAACTTGTTCGAATCTAGATCCCAAAGACGATACGAACCATTCGAATCATACCCCATTAAAAGGCACTTTGTGGATTTGTTGCCAAGTTTCATCGTTTTTCAACTGGAATGTTATTATAACAGACACAACCCCAAATTCGAAGATTTGATACGTTTGGCTTTGCTTTAAACCAAATTTCAGCACGTGTTTTGTATTTGAAGTGATCACCCACGGCAGTTATAGGACTTCTGTTCTTAATATAATTTGCAGCCATAATTGCCTCTGACCAGAATGTCCAAACCACTGGCGTTCAACATTGCTCTTCCTTTATCAACATGTGTACGGTTCAATCGTTCCGCAACCGAATTCATTTCAGGGTTGTGCCATTGCAACAAATTCTTTAAATTTCGCGAACACTTCGCTTTTTCGCTCTATGCAATATACGATGCTCGCACGTGAATAATCGTCAGTAAAGGCGACAAAGTATTTTGAGCCATCATGTGCCGGTACTGGCATCGGTCCACAAACGTCGCTATGTATCAATTCAAGAACTCTTGTTGATCGTGGTTACCGTTTGGACTCAAACGGCAAACGCATTTGCTTACTGATGAAGCATGATTCACAGAACTTCTCATCTAAATTAACTTTAAATTTTTCCAATCCAATGACCATGTTTCTATCATTTAACTTTTTCATATCAGCCACATTTAGATGCCCCATACGAAAATGCAAAAAATTCTGCTCAGGATTGTTCGAGTTAGTTCCACTAGCTATACCAGCAAAAGGCTTTTGATCAGTTTGAAAATTCACTTCATATAGTCTACCCGAATCATGCGCAGTAAAAATTACTTCACCATCACGCATTATTTTTGCAGAGTCATTCTCAAAGAGAACTTGATAACCATAGTTTGTCAAACAGCGTATTCAGAGTAAATTTGTTTGAAGGTCTTTCACCAACAATACATCCCGAAGTATTTTTACCTCATTGTTACCATTAAATAAGGTTTTTATTGGAACATCACCACGTTGGCTTGAAACCAAACTTATCGCCTTTTTAGCAACACCAATTTTTACTTTGTCGATCTTCTCCAGGTTGCTGAAGAAAAGTTCACTGTTATCCATGTGATTAGTAGCACCCGAATCCAGTATAAATTTTATTTGTGATGTGTTCATTGCTTGTTCTTTAATCTGTGTACATACCATCATAGATGCCGTATATGCATTATGCGCATACAAACAAGCTTCTTTGTTTCCATTGCATGTGCGTGCCAACATTGATGTAGCATATTTCGTCTCCGCATTTTTAGCGCTGCTTTTCTCGGACTTCTCGCTTTTCTTCGAATCACCGTTAATTTGCGCACGTTGTCGATTTCTTTGCCTCTTCTTGCCACACTGAGATTTTATGTGACCTACCTGTCCACAACCATAACAGGTAACAGATATATGCATAGCACTAGACGATGATTTTTCACTCGACACATTCGGTGTCGGTTTTTGATATTCATCCAGTAACCTACTTTTCACAAAATCGAATTTAATTTTATCTGCATCCATTGTTTCAATTGCTGTAACCAATGTGTTGTATGTTCTCGGTAGCGTGATGAGCAAGTGACACACAACATCCAACTCCTCCATTTTAGCACCCATAGACTTTAGTTCACAAATTTTACAGTCAAATCTCAAAAGGTATTCTTTCATATCATCCACGTCGTTGCATTTCATCATGAGTAATTGCCGACGTACCAATATTTGACCAGCAATGTTTTTTCGTTCAAAAAATTTTGCCAATGTATAAAACATCTCCTTTGCAGACTTCTTTTCTTTGATGTTTTCCAACTGACAATCATGTATGCTTCGAACGATGAAATTTTTGCATTTTTTCTCTTCCTTCATGGTTCGTTGCCGCTCCGCTTCGACGGTTACACCAACCAAGTGATCATGCAAACTCTTTTTGAGGTACGACGTCAAATCGTTTTCTTCCAACGCAATTTCAACCCGAAATCGCCAATTGTTAAAGTTGGCTCCATCGAACAACGGAATCCCCGTTTTCTGTTGGGTCGCAGTTTCACAAATTTTTTTTTTCTTTCGAGAAAAACCCACGCAATTTGCTTTAAACAATTGTCCAATTTAATTAATTTTCAATAACGTTACTATGCCGCCATAACCTAATAGCGATTCGATAACAGAGCCAGACACAGCCGAAAACCAAAATGTATAAAGCCAAAAATACGTTTTGCTTATAAAAAGAAGTTTTATTAAACTCGTTCAATTTTTATAATGATGAGAGTGATACAAATATATCGATAAAGATAAGATAAGGCCTCGGTTACAGTATAATGGTTGAAATTACATCTACTAAAGTATATGCTGCGAAATTTCCCCTGAGTTGCTGGGCCATTTTCTTAATTCAAATACCGCACTGCGCAACATTTGGATGAGTTGTTTTGTAAGCAATATTGTTTCGCCGATTGACTCCCCGCCGGAGGTGACATCAACCACATATGTTTCTTTCTTGATAGCCTTATAAGCAAGGGTATAAGTATCGCGTTCAAGATCAGCTAACTTGTGCAACGTTTTAATAGCAAGGTATGCGGAAGGTTTGAGGCCAAAAGTAACGGTTTGTAGGGCATAAGTTTGAATAAGATAATCGTCTTGCCAATGAGCTGCTGATATTTAGTATTAGCCGGATGCATATCTATACAGCGATACATTTTCGCGATGTCGCTAACGAATACGAACTTATGAACTCTCCAGTTGAGTAAAATAGTGATGATGTCCGATTGTAAAACAGGTCCGGTGGTAAGTATATCATTCAAAGAACTCCCGTTTGAAGATTTAGCGGAGCCGTCGAAAACTTGACGAAGTTTTGTTGTCAAACTTGATTCTTTAATAACTGCTTGATGGGGCAGATAAAAATTTTTGATACTTGACGGGGAATGAAAATCATCATTGATAGTCTCCATCCGTTTGACCTGGTTGAGTGTCTTATACTCATCGAATACGCAAAAACATGCTTCGCGAAATTTTTCGTCGCGTTGAAATCGGTGTTGAAGAGATTGGAAACGTTTTAGGGCCATCGAAAAGAACGAACCCAATTGAATCGTAGAATCAAAATAAAACTTAAATGGCAAGCGTACCATGAATTTTCCGTTTTCTTGGCGTCTATAAGTCCTTTCGTAGAAGTTCTCTGTTCACTCATCTTACTGCGATAGTTTCTTTTTCTGGGGTGCTTTTTCAACCTCCTGAAATTTTTTTATATATGCCCCGATTTCTACTGTAGAAACATTAAAGCAATTAGCAACAGTTAATAATTTTGTTGATACACTTCTCCGCCCAATATCCATCCCAATGAGGTGTTTTGCGCTACTGGCTCACCAGGTTGTCCTTTGCATAATCCACTTTGTAGTATTTTGAAATAAACGTCGCCGGCTAGCAATAAATCAATTTGGCCGGGGGAGGCAAAATGAGGGTCAGCCAGGGGAAAGTGCTGTATATGCGCAAATGAGCTTGACTTAAGGAGGAAAAGCGGCAAATCCGAAGTAATAGTATTACTTATGGAAGCGGTAGTTTCGACCGAAAAATTAAAATCAGTGATCGAATTAATGTTTAAAATTAACTCCTTATTGATTATTTTGTATTCGTTTTGACCCATTGGGCGAACACCCACGCAAATTGGAATCGTTGGCAACTTCAAACGTTGAGCTGCGCGTTCTGTTATGACTGCGTGCTGCGAACCTTGATCTATCAATGCTCTCAAACGTACGAATTGCCCATTAATATAGGGGACATTTACTAAGGCTGTTGCGAGTAGAACGCTACTTGAATGCGAATTAACTAAATTATTTGCGGCTACGGCGCTCAAGTCGACGGCCGCTTTTGAAATATTTTTATTTGAGGTTGACGAAGAAATTTGATTTGATGCAGAAGATGTGAAATTACTGAGATGCAAAAGCGTATGTTGCTTACCTCGACAGGTGAAACAGGTTTTTTCGCTGATGCACGCTTGCGACTTTGGATGCCCTAAACAGTTGATACATACTTTGAGCTGATCGGCAGTAGATTTCCGTTCGGATGCAGACATTTGCAGAAAACTTGGACGTTTCTGTAAAAGATGAGGCCCTTGCGGACCGCACTTCGGACAAGAAATTCGTTTTGCAGAAACGTTAAATAATCTGGCGTCTTTTCTTTGCATCGGCTTACTTGAACTTGAGTTAGGTTGCTTAGTGGATGAAACGGATGATATTTGATTTGGATCATTCTTAGTTGCTGTTGCTTGGGGATACAAAGCTTCTAATGTGCGGAAACCTGTGTCCAAAAATTCCATTAATTTATCGAATGGTGGAATATCAATGGACTTGAAAGTGTTTTTCCCACTCTAACCTGTTCTGATGAGGAAGCTTTTTTACTAAAATAAACGCGAAAATAGCACCGTATTTCTCGGTATCAACAATTAAATTTTGAAGCGCAAATACACATGCGCGCGAAACAAGAGTTTGCAATTCATCGGCCGAATCGTTGAAAATTATTGGTTGATTTACAACTTTTTTCATATATTTGCTGAAAAGTGCGCGCTTGTTATTATACCTTTCGATTAACGCGGCCAATGCCGTATCATAATTTTCCGCGGTAATATCTAAATAACCGATTAGCGACTTAACCTTTGGATTGAGAGCGCTTTTTAAATATTGAAATTTATGATTACTAGTTAGTCGATCACTGTTATGTATTTGTAAAAGTGAGTCGTAGAACGACGGCCAATCAGTATATAAACCACTGAACTGCGGAATGGTGAACAGGGGTAATTTAAAAGCAGTTTCGGTGGGAGCCCTGATTTGATATGTAATGCTCGAAGAATTCGCTGCTCGGAAGGAGTATGCGATGGGGTATTGCTTGGATATAATTCATCATACGCTGTCTGAATTGTAGAAAAAATATGCGAATGTTCATTTTCAAACTCATTTAGAACATCGTTTGCAAAGTATGATATCATGATGCCGGTCGATAAACTCATGATACAGATTTCCTAGATGACTAATAATAATATAATAATAATAGTTTGGCGCTTACACATATGTTAGTGTTTGGCCGAGCTTCTCCTCCGATTTGTGGCGTGCGCCTTGATGTTGTCACACAAAGCGGGGGGACCTACAGTTTTACGCCGACTCCGAACGGCGATTGTATTTTTATGAGAAGCTGTTTTCATGGCATAAATACACTCGGAGGTTTGCCATTGCCTCCGAGGGACAACCGCTGTTAAGAAAAAACCTTTTTCTACATTTTTTGCGATGTTGCTTTGACCAGGGCTTGAACCCAGGCGTTGCGGAGTGGAAGCGCGCACTGCTTACCACTACACCACAGCGGCCGACCCTACACCACAGCGGCCGACCTAATAGATGACTAATACGCGTTGTAAAATGTCGTTCTGACCGGCGGTATGGACCATATTTACGGAAATTTATTAATTCCTTACGCAAACGTTTCAAATCTTCATGCTGCATTGCTACTAGTTCCAATGCGATGCTTACTTCTGTGCTTTGATTATCCGGAATGTCGTTGAATATAATAAGCCAACAAATGAATACAAAACAATCGCTTACTCTTTAGTACCCGAATACGCGTCGCTCCTGCCAGCACAACCTTATCTGCAGATTTGTTCAATACGGGAGTCTATTCAATGGAAATGCTTCTCACGGTGGATGAGTTTGGTTATCTAACCCCAATTTCGTTGTATGCAACCTTGCGCTTGTCTTGTCGCCGATAGACCTAATAGACTGGACTAAATGATTTGCCTCAGGATCCGGCTCGAAGGACCAGTGTCGCGTGCTGAAGACTCCCTTGGTCAATATACTCAAGGATTTGAGCTTCAATTCGGGGGTGAAAACTGATTCTGGGAGGTTAAAGAACACGTGTTGTCCATCCGGTGGTCGCTCTACGAAGGGGCGACTGTCAATTTTATTATTACTCAGCTGCCAAAAAGGTGCTCTGCTCACAATGCAAATTAATGTCATATTTTACAATACATATGGGTCATTCCATACAATATTTACACCTCATTTATTACCTATTATTTTATTTCGTCATGATATTCGAAAATCTCGAAAAAAATTCCTAAATTTTGAGCTCACGGAGATGTATATTTTTTAATTGTTTGCAGTGTATAAACTGTTTGTCGTAGAAAATCGGTTAGGGTATCAAAATGTGCCCAATTACCTCGGCTTTCCATGAGAGTGTGAGACAGATTAAAATAACAACATTTTTGCATTAAAAAATCACATTTTTTATTTTTTTCTATTAACTTCATTATGCTTGATTTTCAACCTGAATAGTTGTCAAACTTTATGGAGTACGCTGTAAAAATTTGAGAATGGAAACACCTGATTCTGGGAGGTTAAAGAACACGTGTTGTCCATCCGGTGGCCTGTCTACGAAGGGGCGACAGTCAATTTTATTATTACTCAGCTGCCAAAAAGGTGCTCTGTTCACAATGCAAATTAATGACATATTTTACAATACATATGGGTCATTCCATACAATATTTACACCTCATTTATTACCTATTATTTTATTTCGTCATGATATTCGAAAATCTCGAAAAAAAAATCCCTAAATTTTGAACTCACGGAGAATTATATTTTTTCAATTGCTTGCTTGTTTGTCGGAGAAAATCAGTTAAGGTATGAAAATGTGCGTAATTACCTCGGAGAGTGTGAGATAGATTAAAATAACAAAATTTTTGCATTAAAAATATGGCATTTTTTATTTTTTTTTAATTAACTTCATCATGCTTGATTTCTATTTTTTCAACCTGAAGTTGTCAAACTTTATGTTATGTTGTTTCCATTGTCAAATCTGTACAGCTTACTCCATAAAATTTGACAACTATGCAGATGGAAAAAAAATAAAAATTAAACATGATAAAGTTAATAAAAAAAAAACAACAATTAAAAAAATGCGATTTTTTTTTTAATCTATCTCACACTCCCATGGAAAACCGAGGTAATTACGCACATTTTAATACCTTAATTTATTTTCTCCGACAAATAGTTTATTAACTGCAAGCAATTAAAAAGGATACTTCTCCGTGAGTTCAAAATTTCGGGATGTTTTTTCGAGATTTTCGAATATCTTGACGAAATACAAAGTAGGTGTCTTCTTTTTTTCGATAAAGAATGTAAAAAAATATATTTCACCCCAAAAAAAAATATTGAGTTGTAAATATTGTATGGAATGACCCATATACAACTATTACATGTTTCTTATTTCTATTTAGCAGCGACCTCTATCGTATGGGAGTGGAACTTCAACAAATTGAAACTCGGATTTATATGGTTTGTGCTAAAAATATACTCTATTTTTAAAAACAAATAATTTAAGTTAAAAAATATTAATAACAAATGGTGAAATCTTGTCAACATGTGGGGTGTCGTAAAGTTATAATAAGCATTATATGTGTGTCGAATCGAACTTTCTGATACTACTTTTTGTCTATTCCCGCGGTGAACGTAGAAAATTTCACATTCATTTGTGTAACCAGAAATTTGTATGCGCACAAAAATATTAATGACTTGAAAAATATACTAAGATTAAAAAACATATCCATAACCGTTCATTAGCAAACTTATTAATTTTTATTAAACAGCGTATTTTAGGAAAACATCTGTATTCAATGGTTACAATAAATTAATAAGTCCCGGCTTAATCAGTATTACCCCGCTGTAGTACTACATGATTAAAGGCGGGAAAAATAGCAAAATGTCCTCTTCTGCTAAGATGCGCACAAGTTAGCCATAAATCGTCGAATGCATTAATCTGATATCGGGGGAATAACATCAAAGTGCGTAGAAAAGGCGATTTCATTTCCACGTTAGTTACCGATATTGCTAAGGAATTGGATTTTGACATTGTTCTTCCT